GTTGTTTAAAATGAAGGAAAATTGAAAGCGTTGATCAAATGTTCGACCGATTTTTAAAGATCATCAACGATCTCCATGTCCTTGGTAAAACATACTCGAACAAAGATCTTGTTCGAAAAATCCTTCGGAGCTTAACATCAGAATGGCGTTCAAAAGCCGATGCCATATATGAGTCAATTGGTAACACCAATGTCACCATCGATGGTCTTCGAGGTAATCTTAAAACTTATGAATCTACTGTTCTTAAACCTTCTCTTCACAAGAGTCCTGGTCTGGCTCTCAAAGCCTTATCCTCAAAAGGGTAGAGGTAAGTGACTCTGATAGCGATGACGATAATCCTTCTTATAACTTACCCGAGAAGTTCCAAGAGTTTTTGAAGGAAGAACTTAGGTCCCAAGATTGTAAAAGAAAGGGGGAACCCGTTCCATTGTGCTTTGGTTGTGGAGAACTTGGCCACATAAAGTCATATTGCCCATACCGCGAGGAAAAGAAGAAGAAGGAACGAGCATACATGGCATGGGATTCGGAAAGTTCCGGTGACGAAACTGCCACCTTATGTCTTATGGCTCATGAACAAAATGGAGAGGTGTGTTTGAAGACTACATTTTTGTAGTGGAGGCTCCAAGCACGATTTGCATCAAGGGGAGTTTGGGGGAATTGTTTTTACTATAAACATGGTATCAGTTTCAGGGGGAACATACAACAATGATGTTTTGTATCAAACATCAATGTTCAGGGAGTACCTTTTTTTTAAACTTTACTTAGTGCTTTTTGCTAATGCCAAAAGGGAGAAGTGTTTGGGTATATGCAACAAGTGAGGGGGAATCTTGTTTTCAAAGACGTAGGGGGAATTACCATTACTCTCTCTTTGAAAACCCAACTTGGCTTGCATATCCCCTCCTTGGTTTGTCATTATCAAAAAGGGGGAAATTGTTGGAAAACATTTTCACTTTGACATTTTGCTAATGATAATGTTTGTTTCCGTTTAGGTTTTGATATTGACAAACCGCCGGGAATATGGAACAAAATGAAAAGATTCAAAGAGATAGAAAAAGTTCTTTGAAGAAACAAAAAGCACAAGAAAGGCATTGACATTGCTAAAGATGGCGACATTGGCGCTTTGAAGACGTATTCTAAATACTTAGGTTTTTATTGTAATAAGCTCATTCAATTTCTCTACGTCATGGCTCAAAACAAAATATGTTTTTCATGCATCAAATTAGTGTTTTCATAAATGGTTTCTAAAACCCATGGTTGTTGCTTAACCAAAACCATAACCATCGGTTATCGGCGTTGGGCTATGGTGTTCGGTTTTTGGGATTGGTTATTGGCATTGATCTTAACCAAATGGTTTTTGGGTTTTTATCTTTGTTTTATGCTTCTGGACACATTTAAAGGTTTTCCAAATGATTAGTTTTCAAAAACCATAACCTTCATTTTTCGGCGTTGGTTATCGGCATTCGGCGCTGGTTATCGGCGTTGGTTTTTGGTGCCCAAATCAATCAAGTTTTTTTTAAGATTTTATGATTTATTTTTACTTCTAGGCATATCCAAATAGTTCTCCAACAAAAACATGTTAAAAACCACCTTTCGTTTTTGGTCTTTTGGTGAAAACCGTGTGAAACGGCATAAACTTGGCTAGCCGTGGTTTTTACCTTAATGAAGTGGTTTTTACGTTTTTTTTACTTGGTTTCTACATAAAATACATTGTATATGAGTTTCCAACACTTGGTTTTCATTTTGGAGAACTTTAGTTTTTTTACATCGGTTTTCGGCGTTGGCTGCCAAACCATGGTTCTGGCAAACCATCCCAACATGCATGTCGGAAATCCCAACAGCGATGTTGGCACTCAGAAGCCCTGGGCAGTAAGTTTTTGAAAAGCGATGTTCATTGTTGAACAGCGATGTGTTGAAACAAGGGCTTGTCACGTTTTTCGTACTAAAGCCGTGTTTGTTTTTATGACAGGTTTTGATAATGCCAAACCTCCGTGATCAAGTCAAACATTGAATATACATGATAAGTTCATTTTGTTCTTATTTTATTCTACATATTTTAAGCGTTATTGCACGAAAATAGTGGTAAGCAGTACATAATTTTATGTTAAACTGAACAATATCTTTGATTTGTTCTTTAAGGAATAATAATTGGTTTAAAGTTTATCCAGTCCTGATTGTTGATTTTTCTGTTTATATTTGAAAGAAAAAGAAGTTTTTAACTGAGAATTTTATCATGGGAATATCGGAGGAAGTTCAAACAAACTGCGAAGCAAAATGAGAATTGAAGTTGGGCCTTATTTGGATCAAACCGCGAAAAAAGCCCACGGGAAAAGGCCCGAAGCGTCCAACCTTGGACGCTTTGCAGGTTGGACGCTTCCCTTTGGACGCTTGGCAAAGATTGGGCACCACGAAAGGCACGTGGCGCGCAGCGAATGGACGAGCTACGTAAGGCGTCCAACTTTGGACGCTTTGGATCTGGACGGCTGGGGTTGGACGCTTCGCGTCCAGTCCTATAAATACAGCACTTCCCCCCTCCGATTACACACGCTGCACAGCGCCCCTCTCTCCCTCCCAAGTCCGAATTTCTCCATTTTTAGTCTAGATTTACAAGGTTACTTCCATATTTTAGATTAGTATCATTTCCTGGAGTTTTCACGGAGCAAATTGTAAGCCCGAACCTCCAGTTCTTCAGATTGTC